TTTTAACATCTTTATTGGAGTATAATTGCTTTACAATGGTGTGTTAGTTTCTGCTTTACAACAAAGTGAATCAGCTATACATATCCATATATCCCCATATCTCCTCCCTCCTTAGTCTTGTTCACAGCAATTTCTGTCCCTTACCAACACATCTACGTTTGCTGCAGGTGTTGTGAGGCTTCGGGGCACCCCAAAGAATCATCTTTTTTAATCAATGGAAAGGAAGAAACAGCTTGCCTTTATCAACATCTAGGTCGGCTTTCTCAGAACAAGCGGGCTGCAAATCCCAGTGGCTTCTTAGCGCTGTCTCAGATGCCTCCATCCTTCATTACGCTATTCCCATGGTAACTCTCAGGAAGGGAGAAGAGGGACAGCTAACCACTAAGGGGATATTTTTAGATTTCTAGCCAAATGCTCTGACAAATCTGTTGAGGGAAAGAAAATGAGGCAAGTGTAGAAGAGGATTTCTTTATCCAAAGACAATATCATTTAAAACTGATATTATGAAACTGGAAACAACCTTGAGGAATCATTTAACCCACTTCTACCTCTAGAAAGATCCACTTTCAAATCATATCAAAAAATTGTTCGGTAAGATTATTTTTAGAAAATTTTACTTAATAGCCTATTCTACTAGATAAACTATATTTCCTACCTTGAATTTACCCTGGATTCAATCTCAGTTTTCAGACCAAGGGAGTTGGGAATGAGACTGAGTACGATTGCTCAAGTTGTGGAATCACACAACCCTGGGGGCATCTCCTTTATTCTTTGCTAATCATGACAGTCTCTAGGTTTGTGCAGTGCACATCCTGTGCAACTATCTGCACTGGCCCTGCTTCACTTATTTTTATTTATTTATTTTTTTTGCGGTACGCGGGCCTTTCACTGTTGTGGCCTCTCCCGCTGTGGAGCACAGGCTCTGCACGCGCAGGCTCAGCGGCCATGGCTCACGGGCCCAGCCGCTCCGCGGCATGTGGGATCTTCCCGGACCGGGGCACGAACCCGTGTCCCCTGCATCGGCAGGCGGACTCTCAACCACTGCGCCACCAGGGAAGCCCTGCTTCAGTTATTTTTAAAATATGTAAACCCCTCCCATCCTCCTTAAAAGCCTTCAGGAATTTCTCATTGCTCTTAGGTTAAAGGCCATAGAGTGGCTATAAAATACAACATGATACTGATCCTACATGCGTGTCCAGAATCATTCAGTATTATTATAATTCTCCTTTGTGTTTCAGCAAATACCTTCTTTCAGAGTCTCAAACATGCCATCTTCCTCCATCTCAACATCTTTGCACTTATCTGTGACTTTTTCCCCACGCGCTCTGCCTAGTTAATGCCTGTAACTCTTTCTTATCCTTTAAATCAGAGCTCAAATATCAGAAAATGCTTTTTCGACCTCTAAAACAGAAAAGGCCTTTCTGCCATAGCCTCTTCTAACAACTTGTGCATTTCCTTTGCATCACTGAACAGTTTGTAATCATATATTGATTTATGTGACATTTTAGTTTTTTTATTACTTCGAACTCCAAGTAATGAGCTCCAAGTCGTTAGGAATTATAATTTTTGCTCCCCATTATATATATAGTGCCTAGCATATGTTTGGCAAATTATTCTAATGACTGTATAAATGACTAGCAGTTATTTTAAAGGGACATAAACCCAGTTTCTCTGACAAGTCAAGCTGCCTATATGTGACTTCACCGGGGCTCCTCAAAAATATAATGTGCACCCAGATTTCCCAGAGAACTTGTTAAAGTGCAGATTCGGATTCAGTAGATCTGGGGTGAAGCTCATGATTCTGCATTTCCAACTGGTATCCAACTAGCTCTGGAACTTGGTTGCACACTGGAATTGCCAGAGGAGATTTCAAAAAAAATCACTCTGGTGATTCTGATACAACTGGTATGTGCTTGGCCTGGGCTTTCAGGATTTTTAAAGCTCCCTAGTTTATTCTCATATCCAATACTCTTGGAGAATCACTGATGCCAGGCAAAGCTCATCCTCAACAGTAGGCAAAGGGATATTTTTTGTTACCCTTTGCACTGAACAGCATCTAACATGGCCACTTGATAAGGGTTCATGTTATTACTATTTTTTAAATGTCTATCGCTTAGAGATACACAGAAAAGTGGTACCAAGCGTATGTTGTACGAGCAGAGAGAATCCTGTGTGAGAACAGAATGGTCCAATCTTAAATTTTCCCACTTCTTCACATGGGGAAATGTATTTCTTATAAAATATTTCAAAAGTAAGTGTACTATTGAAAAAAGTGGAACATTTTGGTAGAAACAAATGCAGTTATAGCAGTCTTTGCAGCCAGAGGAACAATGCATAATTACTCAGATAATATCAGGAAAAAGAGAAGTTTGGTGCTCTTCCAAAAGCTGCAGCATTTACAGTGAGTTCCTTGATTCCCAGCTTGTTCATAATTGTGAATATGAAGAGGAACCAGAGGCTCTTGGGCATTTGGTTACTCTTTTTGAAGATCAATGCTTCTTAATCTAAAGCCTAGTAATAATCCTCTTTTCTTGTCATTAATTACATTGATGTTTTCCATTGATTTATTTTTGCCTGTGGTTTTAATCTTAAAAATTCCACAGTGTGGAGTGTAATATCTTTGCAGTGTATAACTCAGCACACAGTACCATGTTTTAAGCCCTACACTAGTTGTTTTCTTAATCTTCTCAGCAAACCTATTAGGTAGCTACCACCACTATTATCACATTTTACAGATGAGAAAACTGAGGCTAAACAGCTCATTAGCTTCCCAAAGACAGAGATGGCCAGAGACGATGTCCAGGTATATCTGATATACCTCCCTGGGGCTCTCTCCTTTCCAATGTTATAAATTAGCAGTATATAGGCCAAATTCAGCCTTCAGATATTTTGTCCAGGGGTCTCAATACATTTTTTAATGGGGTGCCACTATTTAGAATGCAGAAAATTTCCTATAAAAATCCAGATTTCAAGTTTATATTTACAATAATCATATCTGACAACACTGAGTGACATTCCTGAAACTTGCCTGAAGCTGAGTTATGTTTTTCCCTTTCAAATGACACTCTCCCTGCTTCTCACTAATATCTCATTTACTCCTGGTCTGCTCCAGCATTTATGACACCTGCTTGGCCCCTCCAGGCCTCTGGTTTTCATCTTAGCTTCTAAACTCTATTGAGGAAAGGAAAGATTCTTACGTCTTTAATACATTTTACCATTAGGAAAAAAAAAAAATGTCCGGTCTCTCGGTGAAGTGGAGACCACTGCATAGCCATTTCCATCACTTCATATCTTTCTAGAACTATCTGTGTTTCCATCTGGCGGAGTGGTCTGATTTCTTTGAGTACAAAGTGGTGAAGCTTAGTATCTTACCTTCTGGTTCTAGTATTTAGCCATCTGGAGTGGTTTCAAATCAAAGTTTTGATTTCACAGGAGTTTATAAGTTGTGTGGTTGTCTTTCAACAACTGTAGCACTGTGGAGACTCACGTATCCCTTGATCTCATGGTATATAGTTGGGTTCTGTTCAGTCTCCTTCAAATAAGGCTATAATAAAGAGGAAGAGGGTGATGTCACCCTGGTGATGTCAGGACCTAGCTGATAAGGCCCTCGCAGTGCTGGCAGGGTTTGAATGCAGTCACTGATTCTGATGCAGCAGGAAACATAGACAAAAAGAGATTCTCTCTTTAGGAGTCTTCACCTTGGTTTTGAGAGTTGCTTGCCTCCATTTTGAGAGTGTAAGCCTCCAATTGCTTACACTCCATTGCAGTGTACTGTTTCCTTGTTTCCTTTTTATGCCTGGCTTTGACCTGCTGCCCACCTGATACTGGTTTCTATGCACTTTCTCTGAGCCACTATATCTTCTGTTCCTCACGGCAGAACCTTCTCACTGCACACGGGAGCCTGTCATTCAACAGAGCTCATGCACACATTTTATGCCTCTTAAATCTCAGAACAATCCTATGATATAGATCTTGTTATTCCCAGTAAATTTTGGCTCAAAAAAGCTGTAAAATTTGGTAAGTTGATGAGTAGAAGAATTTTCAAATGGTTAAATGCTAACCTTGTCTATTCTGTTCCATGTTTTGCTTTGGGTATAAGAGGCAGCTATTGTAGTTGAATGATGTCTACAAAACATGAGAAAAATAATTCAACCATTCCTTATTTCACCACATGGCATGCCATGTGAGGCATCATCAATTTTAAGATATGCCAATTACAATGGAATATTACTCAGCCATAAAAAGAAATGAAATTGAGTTATTTGTTGTGAGGTGGATGGACCTAGAGTCTGTCATACAGAGTGAAGTAAGTCAGAAAGAGAAAAACAAATACCCTATGCTAACACGTATATATGGACTCTAAAAAAAGAAAATGGTTCTGAAGAACCTAGGGGCAGGACAGGAATAAAGATGCAGACGTAGAGAATGGACTTGAGGGCACAGGGAGGGAGAAGGGTAAGCTGGGACAAAGTGAGAGTGGCATGGACACATATACACTACCAAATGTAAAATAGATAGCTAGTGGGAAGCAGCCGCATAGCACAGGGAGATCAGCTCGGTGCTCTGTGACCACCTAGAGGGGTGGGATAGGGAGGGTGGGAGGGAGACACAAGACGGAGGGGTTATGGGGATATATGTATACGTATAGCTGATTCACTTTGTTACACAGCAGCAGCTAACACACCATTGTAAAGCAGTTATACCCCAATAAAGATGTTAAAAAAAAAAAGATATGCCATTATCTGATATGCCATTGGGAACAGAAAAAACACTGTCAATTAAATTATGTCATTTAAATTATGTTGACTGTCATCCTTATTGCAATTACAGATGTTCTAAAGTATAAAGACATGTCTTAGAATTGACAAATATGGTGCTTATTCAACTTTTATTGCAGGCCTTTAATGTGTAAGACGTTGGCTGAAATGTTAATTGTCTTAAAATAAAGAGATGTAAGAAAGCAAATGCCAAAATATTTACACTATAATATTTTCCTACAGCAACCATCAACTGACCTAGAATTTGACCGCGTAGTGATTTATACGACTTGCCTTCGTGTGGTACGGACAACCTTTGAAAGGTGTGAACTGGTAAGAAAGATCTTCCAAAACCATCGGGTAAAATTTGAAGAGAAAAACATAGCTCTGAATGGTGACTATGGAAAAGAATTAGATGAACGATGCCGACGGGTTTCTGAAGCTCCTTCGCTTCCTGTCGTGTTCATCGATGGCCATTACCTTGGGGTGAGTATCTGCTAAGGAAAATCTTCTTTTTTATTGAACCCAACCAGTGTTGATAGGAAGCTATAAGGCTATGACAAGGCAACTTGCAACATAGCTACCAGCATACTAGCTATTTTTTTTAAGTTCAATCCAAAGGGTTTGAAGCACTTATTTCTATCCTAAATGATGTGTTGCTACAGTGTTCACCCCTGCAGGGTCATGGTGAGATGCAATCAGCATGAAATTGCCTTTTTGAATAGAAATACAGTTTTTAAATGTTTAGTTGACTTGAGTTTTGCATTGTGAAGCTTGACATGTGGGATAAAAACTTTTTTTTTAGTGCAGGCAAGAAAAATGGGATATATGAGATATCCATTTGTGAATTCTCCTATACCCCATTATCAAACACACAGTTTCCTACTTAATGAAACTAAGATGACAGTCGTGAAATGAAATCAATAAGAAATAGGGCCCGGAGCCAGAATTTTAATCTGTTTAAAATGATTCTTGATTTTGGTAATGCGAGAACGTGAGACACAAATGCAGGCTTACGGGCGAGCAGAGAACTCCCAGAGCAGCAACAAAACATGACTGCTTCCTTGCTCTTTGAATAGCACTGTTAGCATCTTTAACCCCCACTGATCTATGAACAAGCTTCATCAGTACGAAGCCCAAGAAAGGGGGCTTTGGAGAGTGCAGTTTGGAAAGAGAGAGAGCAAAGGGACACCAGCAGTTGAGGGGGTTGGGACTGACTACAAGGTCACTGATCAGAGAACAGAAAGCGGCTGTCAACCAGAGATGGATCCTTGCATCTTGGTTTCATTTCAAATCTGGTCTTAACCTTCAGCTTCCAGGGAAGGTTAGAAAAAGCCAGAGCAGGAAATGCTCCTGTTTGTTACAGGGAGCTTGTGTCCTGATATCCTGTCTAGAGCCACGGCTGTTAGAGGCCGCCTGTCATCTTACGGAAAGATTAATGCAGAGAAGCCATGATTCAGTAGCTATGATGTTATGCAATCTTACTTTTAACCAGAGCTGGACACAGATAGATTCTGAACTAGAAGTATTTTGATTCAAGTATTGAGCCTCTTATCTTATACTTCAACATATACCCTGAGGTCCCAGAAACCCATAACAATGGCAGTGATAATAATGACAGAATGAATGAATGAATAAATAAATAAATAAATAAAATTTAAAAAGTACTATACTATACTCTCAGCTTATATGTGTCATCTCATCTAGTCCTCAGGCCCTAGAAATCAACTCTCTGGTGCACTGGTTAAGAGGCAAGACAGCTTTGAAGTCGGGCAGCATTGTTTCAAATTCCTGCTCTGCTACTTCTGATTCTGGGAAATTTATAAATCACTCTGCCTGATTTCCTCATTTGTAAAATGAAAATGATAATGATAATAGAACTTTTCTTAGGCTAATTTTGAGGATTTTACTGATATATACACTGTATATAGTGTGTGTGTGTATATATATGTATGTGTATGTGTGTACATATATATATATATATATATATATATATATATATATATATACACATAGCTGGGTAATTGGCAGGACCAGGACTCAAAGTTAGGTCTGTCCGATTCCCCAGACCCTTGCACTCTGACACATCACCTCAAGGAAAGTGATCTTTGCTAGTTTGTTTCCTGGTGGGTTCTTAGCACCTAGAACAGGGTTTGGCATAAAGTGCTCAAAAACGTATGCTGAATGGATGTAGGAATGATGCTATATTGTCTCCTCATATTCTCTCCTTCTCTCCTGAGACATTCTTCCACAAGGAAAGAAAAATCTCATAAACTCATCCACACTGTGGAGAAAATCACTGATAAGGGTTGTGGGTATTTGCATTGTAACCTGAGGGAAATTCTTCTGACAATGTAAGATATTTTTCATTGTGGAATTTTAAGTTCTGTGAAGCTACACAATTAATCTTAGTGGGCGACTGCTTACTTACACAGGTACAAGGTGGGCCCCACCTGCTACTCTGCTCTTGACCAGGCTCAGCTTCTTCCTGCTTTTCAGTGTAACAGGCAAAATGCCTCTCTTGCTATTTGTCTTTCGGTTTCAGGGATAGAGGGAGAGTGCAAAAGAGGAGGTAGGGTGCAGGGTTCTTTCTCGATTGCTTTGCCTCTGTGATCACTTTATTTACACACATGCCTAGAGGCAGAGGGATCACAGGGGTGCTACCTGCTGCTTCTGAAATTTGAAGCTAATTCCCCAAATCTGGAGAGAGGCCAGAGACGAGATTTTTTTCCTTTTTTTTTTTTCTTATGAAAGGGGAATTACTTCTAAATTTATAATTCAAAATGGAGATAAACACTCCAGAACAACTTATGTAACAAATTTCCCTACTACTACAGTAACCCCTTTATTTAGATTCCAGTGCACAGTTGCAAATGGAGTACATTGCCAGAATTGTAGAGCCTTTTCCCTGCAGTGTTTGCACATCTGAAATGGAAGGATGCCCTCTGCTGGGTTTTGGCATGTGGTGAAGCATAATTTTGGTGGAGGAAAAGGAACTGATGTTCCTTAACATCTGTGATGTTTTAAACAGTTACATGAAAACATTTGATTTAGTTTAAATTTAAATAAATGAGAAAAATCAGGATGTGTGAATCATCTGCACAAATACAACTGTCTTTAAGGATGGAGAGAAAGAAATAGACAGACAGAGCCAGAGAACGAAACAGACAGAGACACAAACAGAGGCATATGGAGGCAGAGTGCGGGAGACAGTGAGATGGGATGGAGAGAGGATGAGGACATTTCACAGCTCCCTAATTTTACTACCATCACTGCCATCAGACCCAGGGTGGGTGGTGCCAAGGGAATTCAGTTATTTTCACTGAACGGAAGCTAATAGGACTCCTTCTATGGGCAAGAATGGAAGAATTGACAAGGATGCTCTTTTTGCCTGATGACTGTCTTCCCCAGCCAAACTAAAAACTCAAGATGGAAGCAATGGAATAGTCAAGGGAAAGAAATTACTTTAGAAAACAAATCTACACTGCCCTGGGATGCTCAGTGGTGGAGGGAGAGAGATGGGGGGAGGAGCAAGTTCAGCTTGGAACTTACTTGGGGCAAGTGCCCTATTGTTTTGGCATCAGAAAAGCTTTACACAAAAAGATTGTGTTCCAACAGTTTGGACATAAATAATCTTAGAAATACCCGTAGGAAATGAATTAGAAATAGTATCTTGATTATGGGCCAACCATAAAACTCTACAGTAAGAGTTCACAAAATCCACGTTGGAACTGAGCTATGAAACGTGTAGAATGAATCCAAGTGTGGACTTCAGTAACAGAGAGAGGAATGGAAAGGCTGGTGATCTAGAGGGGTCTCTTAAATTAGCTGATATTGGGTTGTGACTGCTTGATAATTCTATATCTATTTAAAGTACTGTTTTATTCAATTTAAGAATGAAGGAATTATTATTGAGCATAGATAGTAGGCACACTAGAAATACAGACTCTAGGCATGTTTCTAGAGACTACTTCCGAAATTTCTCCAATTTTCCAATTACTTCCAATTTTCCCAGAAATGGGCCACCAAGGAAGCCTCTGCCACAATCTGGAGGTGGTCAGCTCCAGTAACTTGCTGTCTTTGCCATGGTCCACACCAGCAAAATGGATGACTTGTTCTCTGCCCTTCTTTCTACAAAATTTTCTTCCTAATAAAGTTTTGAGTGAGTATATCTGTTTGTGGTTACTAAATAAGTCACATGTGAAAGCAGTGAGGGAAAATGGGAAATATGCTTTTTAGGTTTCTAGCCTCTATACACTGCTATACACTCTATAGCACAGGAAGACATTCTAGAAAGAGTCTGGATAGATTACTGAGTGAGACAAACCACAGTGTCTGCCAGATATGCTGTTTTCACTTATTTTGTTTTGTTTTAACCAGCTGTATTGGGGTATAATTTACATATAATAAACTACATGTTTAAATTATACAATTTGATGAGTTTTGACAGATGTGTACACCCATGAATCTACCAATACACAAAATATAGAGCATTTCCATAAGCCCCCAAATATTCCTCATGTCATTTAGCAGTTAATCCCTTCCTCCAACCCCAGTCCCCTGGCAAACATTGATCTTTCTGTCAATATAGTTTTCTGTTCTTCTAATGTCTTTGTCTGGTTTGGGTATTAGGGTAGTGATGACCTCATCAAGTGAGTTTGGAAGTACTCTACCCTCTGCAGCTTTAAGGTCTGGTTCTGTTTAATCCTTGGTGTAGAGCATCATATCCATTTGACATCAGTTTTCTTTTATGTGAAGGACTTCTTACATACTACTATTGTAGTGTGAGTCTGCTGTGGATGAATTCTTTCACGTCTGAAAAGTTTTTCTTTCATTTTTATTTTTAAAAGATATTTTTGCTGGGTATAGAATTCTAGGTTGAAAGTTTTTTTTTCTTTCAGTACTTTAGAGATGTTGCTCCTCTATCTTCTCATTCACATTACTTCTGATAAAAAAATATGACCCCTCCCTTATCTTTGTTTCTCTGTTTGTGACATGTCTTCTCTGCCACCCCCAACCCCACTACTTTTAAGATTTTCTCTTTAGCACCAGATTTGAGAACTTCAATTATGATATGCCTTGGCATACTTTTCTTCATGTTTCTTTTGCTAAGGGTTCATTGAGATTCTTGGTTCAGTAGGTATATAGCTTTTTATCAAATTCAAAAAACTTTCAGCCTTTACTTTTAAAATATTATTTATATCTTCCTTTCTTTCTCTCCTTTTCAGAGGCTTTAATTACCTGCATATCAGGCTGTTTGAAATAATTCCATAGCTCACTTTATTTCATTTGGGATAGTTTCTATTGCTGTGTCTCCTGGACCCCTAATCTTTTCTTATATAATATCTAATCTTCTGTTAATCCCATCTCTGTATTTTTTATCTCAGGTATTGTAATTTTTATCTTTAGACATTTGATTTCTTTAAAAAATGTATTTTCCATGTCTCACTTAATATGTTCAATATTTCTTCTAGCTTTTTGACCAT